AAGCTTGGTCCGAAAGGGAACTTTTGTTCTCATCTATTACTTGTATGATCGCAATGATGTACTTGTAATGGTTCAGCGATGATGAGTCTCCTCACAACCGTGTATTTGTTACTCTACACCACCTAGGAGGACCAATAAGGTGGAGAATGTTGGAGGTATTGGTTCTACCAAGACCTCTCTTCCACTTATTATGTTAAGGTCTGCACCCTATGTTTACTCCTACTTCCTACACTCTTATCTGTCTAGCTAGCCTGGCTTTTCCTATCCGTTGCCAACTCTTATTGACTTGGTATTATTTGTCTCTAGGCCTTCTGACTTTTGCTAGCCTGTCTGGAGCCCCCACCCTTTGTTTGTCTTTGAGACCCGTGAGCAAATAATAGTCTAATATAATTGAGTGCTCTTCTTCCCTTTTGGGTACACGGTGAGTTCAATGCCAGTGAGCTCCTCTTCCTTCCTTTGTGTGTAGTTAGAGTGTGAGGGAGTGGTAAACAAGGTGAGTGGAGTGGCTAAACAATCCTGGGGGTGGTGTGTGTGATTTGTTTTGGTTGGAGACCTGAGCTGAAATACAAACCCAACAGTGGTATCAGAGCCGGATTCTGCCTTCCGCCGCCGTCCGCCGCCGTTCGAGGTCGCTGCTGTCAATTAAAGCTTCACCTGACCTGGTAGCTGCTGGAGCTCATCGATTGGACGTTCTTTCGTCAGTTGCTCGCAGCTCGCCGGAAGTTGAAGCCCTACCATAGCCGCCTGGAAGCTCAACCATCGTCACCCGGGAAATCCGCCGTCGAAGTCACTGGGGCCCTCCATCGTTTTCAGGCTCTGTTCGTGAGGCTGAAGTTGGACTACTCCGCTGAACGCAGAGGCAGAGGTCGTCGTTTCTCGCCGATTAGTTCGCCGCTGGAGCCATCATCTGCCTGAGAACCATCGCCGGAGGTCTGAGTGCTCGCCGTTGCTGGAAGTAATTGCTGCGGAAATAACAGGACGAAGTTTGCACGTTGAAGGTCTGGACGTGAATCTAACGATGGATAAGAGAAAGGACGTAACGCTGAGTGTTGTCACTGTCCTTTCCCTGGTCACTGAGGCTTGGACAGACTTAGACAAGAAGCAGGTCACGGATCTGTCGTTGGACTGTACGTTGCTGCGCAGAGAGCAGGAGCACTGAAGTGGACCGTTGGATTTGAGGCCGGTGACAGTGGAATGTAACTGGATTACCCCTGAAATTGGGCTGGCCGTTTTTGGGCTGCTGGGTTGCTAAAGACAGGCTGGACATATAGGCCTGAAACGGAACTCTTGTTCCCCTAGCAGTACGCGAGCGACAGAACATGGTGGCCAAATTGGAGTCAAACCTGGAACGCTTGGACTCTGCTGGGTTTTGGGCTCCTCAGTTGTTGGGTTGGATGCTTGACTGCTCGCTGGAGGACTGAAGGATGGGTGCTGACTTACGCACTGGAGCTGGACCTTGAGCTGAATTGTTGGGGCTGGACCTGGAGCAGAGGAAAGACTCAGTCAACTGCTCAGTCAACCTGGTCAAAGCTCGGTCTACGCTGGTCAAAGTCCGCCAAAAGTCCATCCAAATTTTTGAATTGGTGGGTAAGGTCCAAACACTCTCCTAGTGTTTGGCTGTTGTAAGTCTTCTTTATCCGAAATTTCAGTTTTTGCTTTTCAATTATTTTAAATTGTTAGAATTTGTTGTTGATTTAATATTTGCTAGATTGTATTTATTTGTGCTACTGTTTAGCCCTATAAATATTAAGTTGGTTTTTCTAGCTAAAGTTGCATTTTATATTTTCTTGTTTAGTTTTTCTGTGTGAAAATGTCTGCTTTTAATCAGTATGGAATGATTCCATTTAATGGAAAAACTGATTTTAGCATATGGAAACAGAAAATAAAGTGCATATTAATTCAACAAAAATCATATAGGGCCATTAGTGAGACCTATTTGGCTTCTGACACGGAAGAGAAAAAAGCAGAAATGAATGAAAATGCTTGCTCTACAATTTACTTGAACTTGTCTGATTGTGTGCTCAGAAAAGTAGGAATTTTAGAACCAGCTAAATCTGGGTGGAATAAACTTGAAGAGCTTTATAACGTAACCTCTTTGCCTAACCAGATGTTTTTACTTGAGAAGTTTTTCAAATTTAGACTGGATATGTCTAAGGATATTGAAGAAAATCTAGATGTTTTTACCAAACTTATTTCGGATATTAAGTTGTGTGGTGATAAGTATATAGATGATTATTCCCCTATTGCTCTTTTAAATGCTATTCCTGATTCCTTTGGTGATGTGAAATCTGCTATTAAGTATGGTAAAGATAATGTGACTCTTGACATTGTGGTAAATGGTCTTAAGAGTAAGGAATTAGATTTAAAAGAAATGGGTGAAGGTAGAAAATCCGAGAAAGTTATGCATGTGAGGGGTAGACATTTTAAATATCTTACGGAGTATCTTTCATACGCCATATTTAATTAAAAGAGTGCTTTCATGGCAAAAAGTTGTGTGCGCTGTGAATGATGTGTCTAATTAGCACGTTGACCAAATCATTTTCTACAGATCATTAATTGTTTCTCGATCAACCCATTATTAAATTAACTTCTCTACTTTTAATACAAATAAGGGTGCATCTAGACATGCAAGCACCTTCTCACTTGTGGCCAGATTTGAGATTGTTAGAGTGGTCCTAGCATTGGCAGCTCAGTGGAACCTACCAGTGTTTCAACTAGATGTGAAGTCGGTTTTCCTTAATGAGGAACTGACTGAGGAAGTGTTTGTAGAGCAGCCTCAAGGGTTTATTGGAGGCGGGACCTAGACAGCAAGCCCGCCTAGATCAATGAATTGCATTAGTTGGAACTCATGTGGGCTTGGCAACCCTCAGACAGTTCAAGTGTTAGTGGATTTAGACCACTCTAAGCGACCACATTTAGGTTTTTGACGGAGACTTTTTCTAGCTCATTTCGGGTGGAGGAAGTTCGAAGAAGAATGGGTATGAATTCTTGCTTTGTGGTAGATAGTGAAAGGTACCATGGTTGTCTTGCGCTTTTGTGGGATAGAGGGATCCAGGTGAATGTTCAGAGTTCTTTACGGCTTTCATGATAGTCAAAGAAGGTGTGATTCTTGGGCTCTTTTGATTTTTTTTTTTGGATGAAAGGTAAGTATATTAAATAGCACCCAAAAATAACATACAAAATGTATCAAAACTATCTAGCTAGCTAAACTAACTAAAATAGTATCAAACTATTCAAACCCCCCACCCAACCCCTAGTGGGAGATGGGTGGAGAGAAAGAGTTTAAAATAAAGTCCAGAAAAAAATGGCACGGGACAGGCCCCGGTTCATATCAACAAAACAGTCCAAACCAGTGATAGACCAATAAAGGCCCATGCTGGTAGATAAAACCCTTAGTTAGTCATGGGGGATTTTCTTATGCTCTTTTGAAGTCACTCATTTCGGTGTCGTCTCTCCCTTAGTTAGTCATGGGGGATTTTCTTATGCTTCGGAAAAACGGGGAAGAATTCCTCACCCACCTTGGATGTTAAGAGGGTTCAAGGAGACAGTTTGGGCAAACGGGTTGCTGAATTTCTCCTTTTCGGGTTATCAATTAACTTGAGAACGATGGAGGGGAACTCCTAATTGGGTGGAAGAAAAGTTGGACAAAATTCTGACTTCTGAGAGTTGGTTGGAGATATTTGGGGAAACTGTTGCAGAATCTTTGGAGGGTGCGCCTAGCAATCATCTTCCATATTCATCCGGCTTATCCCGACTCGGGGAGTCAATCGCAAATGACGTTTTTGGTTCAAAAACGTGTGGTTACGCGAGGAGGAAAAGGAGTGCAGGGAGGTGGTGGTGAGGAGCTGGGGGTCGAAAGGGGTGGAGGCATGGTGGGCGGGATTGCGGCTTGTAGCAGGAAGGCGGAGGAGTGGGGTAGGGGTAAGGTCAGAATGTTTGGGAAGAGAATCACATTTTGCAATAAGAGGCTTAATGATATCCGAGGGCAGAGCTGATGCATGGGGGATAGCTGAGTTTGATAGGGTTAAAAGCGAATATTTTAACGATTTTAGAAAGAGAGAATTATTTTTGGAAACAAAGAGAAAATGAATTTTGGTATAGAGGAGGGGATCTTAATACCAGGTTTTTCCATAATGCGGTGAAGATTCGAAGGAGGAGGAATAAAATGGAAAAGGTGAGAGCAGAGGATGGTAGCTGCGTGAGGGTCGAGGGGACTTGGCTAACATGATCGAGGACTATTATAATGACATTTTTTCCCCTAGTGTAGGGATTTGGAGATCATGTTTTCTATTGTGTGAATCGACGATTGGATGACCACCAAAATGAACTTGTATTACAGCCTATCACACAGGAAGAGGTTAAAGAGGCACTATTTGCGATGTATCCGGATAAGTCACCTAACCGAGATGGAATGAGCCCGTGATTCTTTCAGCATTTCTTGGATGTTGTTGGCCCTGATTTGGTGGATTTTATAGAGCTATTTTTTAGCCAGTCACGATCCTGGAAGGTATGAACCGCACAGACCTTGTTTTAATTCCTAAGGAGCAGCCTAAGCTACTTAGTGATTAGAGGCCTATTGCTCTCTGTAATATTACATATAAGGTTTTTTCAAAAGTCTTAGCTAATAGAATGAAAGTTCTACTCCATTTATGAATTTCGAAGTAGCAAAGCGCTTTTATCCCAGGGAGATCCATTGTGGATAATATCATGATAGCATTTGAGACTCAACATTTTTTAAAACGTAAAAGTCAGGGTAAAGTGGGTTATGCGGCACTAAAACTCAAGATGAGTAAGGCTTATGACCGGGTAGAGTGGGCTTTTCTGGAAGGATGTTAAAGCATATGGGTTTTTTGGACAGATGGAATCATATCGTTATGTTGTGTGTGCGGACGGTTACTTATTCTATACCTTTTGATGACTCAGAGATTGGACCGATTATTTCTTCCAGGGGCTTGGGCCAAGGGGATCCTTTATCACCTTACTTGTTTATTTTGGTTGCAGAAGGTCTTAGTGCTCTTCTCCACTTGCATGAAAATGTTGGACGTATTCATGGTGTCACGGTGGCTAGGGGAGCTCCGGGGATTTCCAATCTGCTCTTTGCATATGATAGTTTGTTTTGTTTTCTTAGACAGATCATGGTCTGGCTACGGTGGTTAAGGAGATCCTTCTTGACTATGAGCTAGCATCAAGACAAGTGGTCAATTTCAACAAATCCAAGATTTTTTCCAGCCTCGTGGGGCTCTTAGGAGTGGGGCCTGCGGAAGCTGGAGAGAGGTACCTGGGGGTTGCGAGCCCTCTTTGGCTGGAATAAAAGAGAGATTCTGGATTATATTATGGTAGTGGATTGTCCGGCGACTACAAAGCCGAAATAACAAATTTTTGTCACGTGCAGGGAGAGAGTTCTCTTGAAAACGATAATCCAGATTCCAAGCCATGTCTCTATATGCTATGAATGTTTTTTTTCTTTCTCACGAGCTTTGTCGGAATGGAGAAATTCTTTTATGAATGGACGAGTAATTCTGTAAGGGGAATCAGATGGAGAAATTGGGATTTTCTCACTCTGCCAAAAATTATTGGAGGATATCAAGGTAGCAAGTCTCCTAGCTAGTTCAGCCTGGTGGTGCGTGAGATGAAGATATATTGGCTGAGCTTTTTATGACAGAGATAAAGATCTAATTAGAAGAATTCCTCTCAGCAGAAGAAGCATTTAGAAAGGAGAGCAGAATGGTAAGTGCAGTGTGCGAAGCTGTTATAGAAGACTTGTTGGGGAGGTTCATTTTGAGGGTTCGTGGGACTGGACTGATGTCTGGAATTGGGAGATTCCCCCGAAAATTAAAGCTCTATTCTGACAGAGAACCTTAGGTGGCGGGTTAACTGCTCGGCACGGTGTGGTTTATGTGGAGACAATGATGAATCTCTGTTTGTTAATTGTGAGGACGACTTGGGAATCAGTTGGGTGGTATGTTTCTTGATTGGCTTCAGTCGATATTCCAGACCAAGAATGGAGAAGATCTGCGGACTGTGGCTTGCGGTTGCTAAGGATTGTGGACTCAGCGCAATCGGCGAGTTTTCAGGGGCCCGACCAGTTTCTGCACCAGGCATGGAGTTTTGTTGATAGTTGGAGTTCTGGCCAGGTGAAGGAGAAGAGGTCTGGGACAGCTTCGCCGGTTGGAATTGTCCGCCGAATGGTTTCCTAAAAGTTAATATGGATGCCTCCGTTACAGGACAGTCACATGGGCTGGGATGGGTAGTCCGTAGGGCTGGACTCGGTTCGGGCCGTGCCTCCGGTCCTATAAAGGGGGGCCCGGAACCGGCCTGTCCTTCGCCCGGTTCCAGTTCGGACCGGGTCGGGTCGGTCCTAGTTTAATTTTGTTTTACCTTTTTAATACAACTTAAATATGAAATACATTTTTCAAAAAAAAAATAATACAATAAATTCTAAGTTGTAAGTTTGTAACCAATTAATTAATTAATTAATTTGAGAAGTGCTACATATATAAAAAAGAATGTATATTTATTTGAAATATGAAATACAACTTTACAAATTACAATAGAGAATTGAAAGAAAAATTAAAACATGAAATACATTTTATAATAAACTGTAAAATATTAATCAATCGGAATCTCCGACATAGGAGCCACCCTCGGTTGTTGATTCATCCATAAAGTCTTGGGAGGGGGTGATGCTAACTTCTTGACATCTACGTATGGCCTTCAACCAATCGTGGTAGCATATAAGCGTCTCAAGAGACTCAGCGCTCAAACTCGTTCTAGATGTCGTTAGAACGTTGCCGGCCGAACTAAATTCTTGTTCCACGGCAACGGTTGAAACCGGCATTGATAGCACTTGCTTAGCCATCCGTGCCAAAATCGGGAACATTCTTTCTTTTGACTTCCACCACTTTAGAACATCAAACTCCTCATTTTCGTCAAATTCTACCTCATAATTAATATACAAAGAAATCTCATTAAGTGCGCTTTGTTCAGTAGTAGTAGTGTGAGTTGTTTTAGGGTTTTTCATAAGATTGCCAAAAAACAGATTTAAAAAGTGATTTTCCTTTAGATGAACATGTGTGTGTCGGGGGAGGAGGGCGCGTTGCCATATTGTGCACGAAACTCATTAAATAAGGCATAAAATAAATTACTAACCTCGTTGTATTCAACTTGCGGATCTATGGCGTTATCATCATACATTGGAAATGGACCAAAAAAAGCATTATAATAGAACTTCAAACATTCTTCCAAATTACCAAGTCTATAATGAGGATCGAGAATAAATGCAATACTATAAATATGCGGAATATGTGCATAATATTTTAAAAACTTTTCCTTCATAAAACCACAAAAATAACTCACGTAAGTGGCATCCTCAAATTCATTAAAAGCACCGGCGAGATTAACAACTTCACGAGTAAATTCGTTTGAGGTAGGTTTATATACATGACTAAAACTATCAGTTGCATTATTAAAATATATCAAAACATTACAAATTTTTTCGCAAGTGTCGATGTGAGCGGGGTTTAAAATATAGTTATCATATTGTCTTAAAAAAACAGGAAAATGTTCTTTATATCTAAGAAGAACTTTAATTAATTTATAAGTACTATTCCACCGAATAGACAAATCTTTAGGAAAAGCAACATATTTCACACCTCTTTCAATCAAATAATTTTGTCATTTTAATTTAAGTTGATCATTGCCCCAAATACGTCTAATCCCCCCTTAACTACCTCCATAGCATCTCCTAACGCTTTTATACCGTCTTGCACACATAAATTTATAATATGGCATTTTTGTGCATCAGTGTATGAGAAATTGCCAAAAGGTTGGTCATTTGCAAACCTCGCTATTTGAGTTTGCTTCCCCTTCCCTTTGTCTATTTTTGCATACTCCACAGAGTGCGCGGACTTAAGATGCCTTTTGAGGCTCCCGTATCCGTCGGAAGTTCCCAAGCTATACTCCTTCTTGCAATGATCTCCGCTGGGTCTTTCCTCTTTGTAAAATTATTTTTTATAATAGGAGATTTAGATTTCTTACCAACTTGGGATGGACCGCCCTCGTCCTCCTCCGCATCATCCGTGGTGCCGTGAGTCCCATCGCCCCCCTCGTCCTCCTCCGCATCGTCATCCTCGAACTCCTCTTCATCAATGGACTCCGGGATGTTTTGTTGTTGGGAAAAGCGACCATCATTTTGCGCTAATAGTTGTTGTAGTTGCTCGTCGGACATCGCATCCCCATCTCGCCTTTGGTATCCGTCATCAAAATCTTCTCGACTTTGAGAAGAAGACCCGGCCCGCCCTTTTCCTTTGCCTTTGCGTAAACTAGGATGACTTGTCGCAATCTTCTTCCTTCGGTTGCGTTGGAGACTACCCACATCTACGGAATGTCTGGCACGGTCTATCTTTAAAATGTAACAAATATTATATGATATCAAATGTTTTAATATGAGTACAATAGTAATAATAAAATGCGACTAATAAATAACTACTTTTATTAGTTTATACTTTAATGAAAAATGTAACAATTAACTAATTTTATACTTGAATGAAAAATGTCACAATTAACTAGTTTTATACTTTAATGAAAAATGTAACAATTAACTACTTTTATACTTGAATGAAAAATGTAACAATTAACTAATTTTATACTTTAATGAAAAATGTAACAATTAACTACTTTTATACTTGAATGAAAAATGTAACAATTAACTAATTTTATAGTTGAATGAAAAATGTAACAATTAACTAATTTTATACTTTAATGAAAAATGTAACAATTAACTACTTTTATACTTTAATGAAAAATGTAACAATTAACTACTTTTATACTTTAATGAAAAATGTAACAATTATCTAATTTTATACTTGAATGAAAAATGTAACAATTAACTAGTTTTATACTTTAATGAAAAATGTAACAATTAACTAATTTTATACTTTAATGAAAAATGTAAAAATTAACTAGTTTTATACTTTAATGAAAAATGTGACAATTAACTATTTTTATACTTTAATGAAAAATGTAAAAATTAACTAATACGATGAATTTAATTACTATGAATTCAAGTGTAACTAATATAATTGTATAACTAATATATAATATAATGTTTATAGTATATAATATATAAATATATTACTATAAGATGAGTAATACACTTATATATAGTACTTTAATATATATAAGTAAATAACAATAAATATAGATAACAAAGTAAATATTAAAAAGATGGAGATGTATAAGTGGATAATAAGTATATATTAAGTAGATAATAAATATTAGTAATATAATATAGGTATATAAGTGGATAATTAATATATAAGTAGATATAATAATTATATAAATAATATATTTATATATGTAGAGAGGTTTGGAGAAGATGAAGATGGAGATGTATAAGTAGATAATAAGTAATTTAAGTATATATTTAGTAGATAATAAATATTAGTAATATAATATAGGTATATAAGTAGATTATTTTCTAACTAATATATAATATAATGTTTATAGTATATAATATATAAGTATATTACTATAAGATGAGTAATACACTTATATATAATACTTTAATATATATATTTAGATAATAGGTAGAGATTAAGTAGATAAGGAATATAAGTAATATAATATATGTATGTAAAGTAGATAATTAATAATTTAATATATAAGTAAATAAAAATAAGTATAGATGATAAGTAGATATCAAAGTAAATATTAAGAATATAATTAATATATAAGTAGATATAATAATTATATAATAATATATATATGTAGAGAGGTTTGGAGAAGATGAAGATGGAGATGATCGATTTAAGAGTATGAGGGAATAGAGAATTAGAGAGTAGGAAGAGTTGGAGATGAGGTGTAAAAAATGTATAGAAAATAGGAGTATAAATAGGTTTTTTTTATCCCACCCCCCCCACCCCCACCCCTGGACCCCCCCCCCTCCCACCCCCTCCAATGGCTATAGAGCCGTTTGGGAGGTCTCCCAATGGCTAGAAGCCTCACATTTATTTAAAAAAAAAAACATAGCCGTTAGGCCCGAACCGGGCCGGTTCGCCATTTGAAAGGCCCGAGACCGAACCGCTACTCCACCGGGCCGGGTCAACCCGAACCGCCCCCCCCGACCGGTTCCCAGGCCGGGCCGGTTCAAACAGTAACCGGGCTAGGCCGGTTCCGGGGCGGCCCGCCCGGCCCGAGTCCAGGCCTAGTAGTCCCAGGGCCGGTCCTAGGGGGAGGGCAGCAGGGGCGACCGCCCTAGGACCAAGAAAAAGTAGAAAGAAAATTAGTCCCAAATTTTTTTCTGTATATGTAATCTGAGTATGCTTCTATTTTATTTATAATTTCAAATATTTAATTAGGTCTAATGTGTAATTTTGGTTGACAATTTGAAAATTTTAAAACATAAGTAAAAAATCTTGAACGGAGCTAGACAAGTTTAAAAAAAGAATATAATTTTTTTTTTTATTTTAAATAGAGTTTGGTGTAAGTCAATACATTTGTTGTTGAATCAATAAAAACACGTCTCTTCACATCTTTTTAACCTTTAAGACTTTTTATTTTTTTAATTACAAATTACTGATTTATATTATTGTTTTTGTGCTGCCAGTGCCTCCCAATTCTCAAACATCATCCCAATCATCTATTATGCCTCAAAAAACATAATGGATTAGCAATTTTAAACATTGCACATGTCATCTTGGAAAAGATTGATAAGCAATTATTGATGATTTTACTTCACATTGTTCTTTTGTGATACTTGTGTTGTTACTTTTATCCATATATGTAATATAATTCAAATAATATGAAGGTGAATTTCATCTTTATTTTATAACGCTTATTAGATAGTTGTTGGGAGAATTCCTTAAATAGGAGTTTTTTTTAGAATTTCAAAATAAGATTGTCATGTGTTTAGTTTCTGAATATGAGTAATTATTGTCATGTTCGGAATATACTACCATGTGTAAAGTATGATACTGTCAAAATACGGCAGTGATTACTTCTATTTAGGGAATAAAAACATGATAATCTTACTTTTGAATATACAAACGTTTTTAGTCCTATTTAGAGTAGAATCCCATAGTTTATTATACTCCATAATTTTTACTTTAAGTAAGTATAATTTACGGTTTGTTTTGAAAATAAGGCCAAAATAGTATACCGCCCATAGGCCCAAAATTGGACAGGACCGGCCCTGAGTAGTCCGTAATGCTGCAAGCCTGCAATGGAGTTCTTGGCAAGAGGAGTTAAGAAGAGGAAGGCCATGTCTCTCCCCTGGAGGCTGAATTGGTGGGTATTCAGGAAGTTTTAAGTTGGTTTAAAAGATCAAGCTTGGGGTGCTATTGAGGTTGAGTCAGACTCTCTATTGATGGTCTCGAAAATTCAAAATGGCTCAAGTCTATCGTATGGAGGAGTGATTGCATAAGACATTAGAGACATCAACTCGGAGTTTTTAATATTTCTTTTTCTTTTGTTAGGCGTTGAGAGAACAAGGTTGCACATACATTAGCTAAAGCGGCTTGTTCTTTGTCTGATAGCCAAATTTAGATGTTTACTTGACATTCATGTAATTTCCATGTTTATGTTTGTGTTTTTAATTAGTTTAGATTGATTATTACTTTGGAAATTACACACGTTTGGTGTAATAGTTTAGTCTGTAAAATATTTGTAATTTGTTTAGATTAGGTTCATTCTGAGCTCACACAGGTCCAAGAACACTTTAGACAAAGAAATAATATGAAGGTAAAATATTTAATCCCTCTCTCTCTCTCCATTTCCAAAAATCCGAAACCCTACCCCCAAAACCCCAAGTCCGAACCCAAGCTCCCAATTTGCTCAAAAAATGGCACCAAAGAGGAACCAACCGGAGAGCTCTAACACAAGGGGACCTATTCGAGGCTATGAGGATGTTCAATTTGGCCCGGGGGATCATCGGAAGCGATTTGTGGCCATTCTAAAAAGGCAAGTCATTCCTTTTCGCTTTTTATGCCATGAAGCTCTTACTTCTCTAGGTTTGTTGGATGGCATGAGATAGCTTTTTGATGAATTGCATATGGCCTTGATTTTTAATTTGCAATATAATTGTAATGAAAGGGTCATCTATGAATTTTTGAGTTCGGCCAAGTTTGTGTTGGATGAAAACCATTTTTACGATGACACAATCACGTTTCGGTTGATGAACACCGAACACACTATAACGAGACGTGATTTTGCCGAGCATTTTGGGCTCCGATTCCCACATGAGAGGGAAATCCCGGACAATACCATGGATGCATACAACCTATGGGGCAAAATGACCGGAGAACGGAATTTCAGCACGTCCCAACTATACATTAGTCACGTGTAACATCCCCTTCTCCGGATTTTCCTCAAATTTTTGTGCAACTCCTTGCTTGGCCGCCCCAACAACCACCACACTCGGATAGGGGATGTAGCCATACTTACCCTTTCTCTTTTCCGCAATCCCGTTGAGTTCAACATTTGCAACTTAATTTGGGATCATCTAGAGAAGGCTATCACAAAAGGGGGAAACATTGTCCTAGGGGGAGTCATCATGCATTTGGCTTCCAAATTTGGTTATGTGGATAATGCCACAATTTCTAGAGATTCATTAATGCATCTTGCATGGTTATCCAATGCACAATTGATCTCTTTGGGTAACAAAGACCATAACGGAACCCAACGCTATAAATGGCACATGAAGTACCCCGAACCCACCAAATATTTTCCCCTCCCTTGTGACGAATTACCTAGATTTAGGTATAGAATTGAGCCATTTGACATCCCCCACTACCTCCTCCCCAACAACATCCCACCACACCTCCAACCTCAAGCCGACCAAGCCGAGCAACCCAACCCCCAACCGGAGCAACCCGAGCATCAAGAGGGACATGAACATGTCCAACATGATATCCCCGACCTTCCCCAAAACCCGCCACCACAAGACTTCTTCCAACAACTCTTGGCGGGTCAACAATCTCTCCTAGCCGGATTTCAAACAATGAGCCTCGATTACACAAAGATGGGAGGGCAATTTGCCCAACTTCAAGAGGAGATAGGCCACTACCGGGCGGAGCAACAAGCAAGGGACAAACAATTTGATGCTTTCCGGACCGAACAACAATCGGCATTTCAAAGGATGGAGGAACAACGCGCGGCCGACATACAAAGGTATGAAGAGGACTACCGGAAGGATGTATGGGCCCACATATTCATACATGTCCCACCTTGGCGGATTTGCATCTATGGCCTCACCACCACCGGCACCTTCTTGGTATAACCCCTCCGATTGGGGTAATTTTGGCGGCTCTAGTTCCGGCGGTGGAGGTTATGATGGAGGGGATACTACCATGGGCGAGGGAGGCGGTGATGACATGCACGGGAGCGGCTTTGGAGGAGGCTATTATGGTGGAGAAGGCGGGCACTAGGGATAGTGCCATGATTCAAGTGTGGGGGAAGAAGATTATCTCTTGGTATGTACACTTCCTTGTTTTTACCTTGTACTAAGCATTATTTTCTTGTATTAGTTGTACACAAAAAAAAATTAATAAAGGAAATGAAATGCTAGTTAGGTTGAAAACCCAAAAGGGCAATCTAAGCAACAAGGGCTTACAAAAAAAAAGATGAGTGAGTGGTAAGGAAAGGAAAAGAAAAGATATGCTAGGATGAAAACCTGAAAAGGCTCCTAGGCAAAATGAGAGATATGAGAGAAAAATTTGTTTTATTTTGCAGGACACTATCTCTTGAAGAAGAAGAAGAAGAAGAAGAAGAAGAAGAAGAAGAAGAAGAAGAAGAAGAAGAAGAAGAAGAAGAAGAAAGAAGAAATAGGAAGCATAGAAGACCATTAAACCCAAGGAAATGTGTTTTGTAAACTCATACTTGGTGGTTTTAGTTTCTTATTTTTTTCCTGTCTATGAACTCATGATCTTGTGATAAACATTGTGTAAACATTTGGTTGTACTCGAGGTCGAGTAAAGAAACTAAGTGTGGGGGAGTTGACATTCATGTAATTTCCATGTTTATGTTTGTGTTTTTAATTAGTTTAGATTGATTATTACTTTGGAAATTACACACGTTTGGTGTAATAGTTTAGTCTGTAAAATATTTGTAATTTGTTTAGATTAGGTTCATTCTGAGCTCACACAGGTCCAAGAACACTTTAGGGACCAATGGTGAACATCACAAGTGGAAAGAAGGTGCAAAAACCCCAAGAAAAAATGAAGATCCTGATTTTTGGTCTTGTACCCGGTCGAGTATGACCTATACCCGATCGGGTAAGTTGCTGAAAAATCAAATCGGATAAATCTGCGAACAAGGCAACGTGCAGGGAAGATTTTAACCACGATCGAGTGTCTATACCCGATCGGGTAGCCGACATACCCGATCGGGTATGTCCATGTTTTTCCAGCTTCCTCGAAGCAACTGAAGGCCCGGTCGAGTACCCTTTATACCCGATCGGGTACACGACCCTGCAGGCCTAAAAAGCCTATAAATACACCTCATTTCCTCCACAATAAATCACCAATTCCTATATACTTCTAAGCTCAGTTTAGACAAGTTATTTCTTTATATTTTCTTCATGTTTAGTCTCCAAATGAGGAGCTAAACTCTTCCATCTTGGTTTTGCTACTTTGAAGCTTAATGATTTGTAAGTTGTGAGTTATTTTCTTTAATCTTCTTCCTTGAATATTAATTACTTCCTATTCATATTCCATATTAATATTTTGAGCATTACTTAAAGGATCAATTAGTTTTGTGTCATAAATTAATTATTACTAGAATCAATCGGTTAATACGCTTGTTATTAATTCGGTTCTTTCAATGGTAGTAAACTTGGGTTGTTAATGCATGCTTCTCATGGTTAATAAGCCAAGAGGAATTAATTATATTGATTTAACCAATAAACCGCTTGTGTTGATGTTATCAATCTCAATCGTTTTCATCTTAAGTTTATTGCTACTATCAAGTTAATATACGACGCTTGTTCTATATTGACTCTATAGTAAGTTTTATTAATGAACGCATCTCGTTATTAATAACTACCCTCGATGAACTGGATATACTCCTCGATTGAGTATTCGAGAGGAAGATAGTTAAAGATATAACTGGGATCGACGAACATTTCATTAAGTGGATAAAAGCAAAGCCAAGTCTCCTTATTAATTAAACCACATAACTCGTTCATCTTCGTGTTTAAATATAATTTAAGTTCATTCACTCAATCTATAAAACCCCCTTTTGTTACTAGTTTATAAAGAGAGAAGTATTCCTTTCCCTGTGGATACGAACGTTACTTCATTATACTACGTATAATTGTTTTATTGTATTATTATTTTGAGTGCACACCACGACAAAGTGCACGTCATTACTCTTTGAATTGTATTGTTGACGCATTATCCTTTGATTTGTTTATTGCTAATTGAGATTATTGTGGCAAAAAAAAAATGAATACAAAAGCACATTGAGACTGAGACCTTAATTAAATATGATTAATATAGTCCAAGTAAGTTCTTGTCGAAATTAAATTTATCACCCACATTCCTAGAAGTTATTGTTCAGGTAAAAATATAAACCAGCAAGTGCAGCTACTCCAACGACGATCACAACGGGCAATGCTCCGCTGCATCAATATATGACAAGGTTTTTATTCATTATATGATATATCAAGGTCGATAACAATGAAAATATTGAGCAAAGTTCGAAAGTAAACAAGTAGAAGATATATCAAAACTCAATAGATTCATTTTAAACTATTTCACACGCATTTTATGTAATCCAAATATTATTACTATATCATATACTAAAGGCAAAATAAAAACATATGTAATTTTGAGCGAGAAAAATTACATTTCATTCTTATTTGCATTATTCATTACAAAGCCAAGCATAAGAAAGCATCTCCATATGTTAGAGTACGTAAACACACATTTAGTTTGATTCCAAAATGAGTTTGTAGCCATAAATATTCCGTACAAATATTCCACGCAGGGTAGGAGAGATATTGACACAAAAACTTAATTAATAGAAAGTCTCTCACATTCTCTCTACAGTGTGGAAAATTTTCATTTATATGGAGTAGTTTATTTACAATGTCAAACAGACTAAATCTTGACATTGTGTTTGACATTGTGAATAAAAAGTAACCAAAATTGATTATGTCATAGAAAGAAAGTGAGGAACTCCTCTATTAATTATTTTTTTGTCTATATTTCTCGTGCCACGTGTGCACGGTTGACACTTTTGCACTGGATATACTCTAAGATGCATAACTGCTTTATTGTGTTGTTGAATCATTTGAAATGATCCACTCCGATGCAAGGGGATGATACTATTTTCTGGCATCTTGTCTACTTACCCTCTCGATCAACAGGACACTATGGACCATGTATATGTGTTCTCTCACGATCTCATATCCTCCATGCATCTTAATGACAACACTCATTCCGACTAGTCCACGCATGCATACACAAACTTCCGACTCCATGTAAGCTGAAAACTCTCATCCTAGGAAGCCTAATCAAACTAAAGGCTCTGCCCCCATGCAGTCCAATCAGACTGACGGATTTGACTCCATGTAGTTTGATGCCTCTGATTCCATCTTTGTATCTCCTCCAACCAATTTGGTTCCACGTTGTAGTGAGCGACATCCTGGCTGTGTATCTTGGAACACCGACTACATTTAATGTCATTGTATATGCATGAACTCCCCTTATTGTCACTCCTCTGCTGGCCTCTTCAGGTAGTTCATATTCTTTAGTTCATTATGTAAATTATAATTAATTTTCTGTGTAGCATTATGCTTTGCACATTTCTCTCACACACATGAGCCTCATTCTTACCACGAGGATGTTAAGGGTCCCAAATGGGATGATACTATGAGATAGAAGCTCTAGAGCGATGAAACCCATTCGTTGTAAATGGGTCTACAACATCAAGTTCAGGAGTGATGAGTTTGTAGAACGCTACAAGCTCCACTGGTGGCATGGTAACATGCTTGTCACGGCGTCGCCTAGGCGCCGACTAGGCATCCTGGCAATGGAGAAGGGTCGACATGGGAGATCGACTCGCCAGAAGAAGATAAGTCGCTCCTGGTGCCGTCCAGGCGTCGACAAGTCGTCCAGGGGCAGTCCAAGCGCACGCCATAGGAGATTAAAATCTCAATAAATTCGTTTTTAGAAGCCCAGCCCAAAATAGGATTTAGAAGGTAGTAATTTAGGAACCGAAGCCTTCTGAAAGTCTGAATCTCGAAGGACAATCATCGACTCTCAAACTTGAAGGCCAATTGACGAATCCCAAACACGAAGCATTGCTGTCGCTACTTCTCTGTTGCGTGCCTCTGTCGCAAGGTTGAAGATGACCTGCGCTTTTTCTCCAGCTTTGTATTTTATCGATTATTCACTTGTCACTTTATGTCTCTACCAGACTTCTTATTCCAGTATATTAATACTCAGTATGTTTTATATGCAATTACTCACTACGCACTATACCCACTAAAGTAGTTTAATTAATTAAGTTGTACACATAGTCGATTGATTTTTTTATATACACACGCATACATTACCCTTTTCTCATTTATTAATGGTTAGTATCAATTCTAGGCAATGTTCTAAAAGGCGTTAGGTCGGGCGCCAGCCCGGCGCCTAGGCGGGCGCCTAGGCGGAGACATATAAATTATATTTTTATCTATATTTTCGCATAAATACGATAAGTAATACTACCTCCGTTCTCTTTTAGTTGCAACATTGGACTTTTTGCACTATTCACTTATTCTACTTTGATTACATTTTATTAATTGATGTATTATAAATTAAATTTGTAAAAAATATTGTTAAATTCTTCTTATTCTAAATTTTCAAAATACGATTTTTTTAAAATTTTTTATTAATACGGAATGAAAGATATTAATGGTCAAACTTGTGCGTTGGCAAACGTGAAAAGTTGACTGTTGCAATTAAAAAGGAACGGAGGAAGTATTATATTTTTGTGTGTATAAAATACACACAAAAATGATAGAATTATCACATTTAATCATACGTAGTACGAAGTACTACGTATATGATAACTAATCACTTGACTTCATTATGTTATAAACATAAATAATAATAAAATTTAGGTATATATACAAACATATATAGTCTTTATCTTAATTTACAATTTCATTTCTTTATATATGTGGCTAAAGTTAAAGTACTTACGTAGTATATCGCTTAGAATATTAAAATTTAAAAGTAAAGTAATGTTCGGCGAATCTAGATGGCCTAGGCGGCCGATTAAGCGCTCTGAGCGGGCAACTAGGCGTCATAGGCGACCGACTAATTCACCTAGACGGAAAACCAATTAGTCAGAGCGCTAGACGAAAATCGGGGCGCCCGGCCACCGCCTAGCGCCTAGGCGGGGACTAGTCGGACGCCTAGAATGATTTTTAGAACAGATATTCCAGGTAATATACAATTTAATTGGTAATATAGCATACGTAGTATATCATGCATAATAAATCACAAATTAAATACAATTAAATAGAATGTAAATATATATAATTATATATATGAAATATAACATACTCCGTATTATACAATGTGTGATTGAAATAAGAACAAAAGATTATTTACCTAATAGACCCCTCTTTTTTCAATTGTTCTTTCCTGGCCTTCCTGACGGCGGTGTCATTAGCGTTTTTGGCCACTGCCGGTTCATATGCTCTAAATCTTCTCTTTGGAGCACCACATACTGCATTCAAATTAAGGCTAGCTAGTAAGTAAGCACATTCTAAGTGCTGTTTTGAGATTTATCATATTCAAAAGGGAAAACCATCAAATTAGCCCTCAAAGTATATTAGAAAAGACAATAAAACCCTTGAACTTTAAAAATATGCAATTGAGTCGATGAACTATATAAAAACAGTCAAATTTCTAATTTAGACAGTTGATTCTTGGTTAACCGGTCAGTTGATGCATGGCAATCCAGGTGGCCTATTATTTATGTTTTTCCTTTTCTTTTTCCACTTTTCCCTCTCCTTTATTCTTCTTTTTTCAGCCCGCCCCACACCTTTCTTCCCCTCCCTTCCTCTATCTTCTTCTTCATCCCAGCCCGCTCCACCCCTCCCTTCTTCTTTAACCCGACCTAGCCTACTCCTTTCTCTTCTTTCTTCTTCAGCCCGCCACACACCAGAGACGACAAACCGGGCCGTCGGACAAGAAATCCGGCCACAGCCCACATTGGGGTTCATGGAGATGGTGACGACCAAAACAGAGGACATGAGAGGGGCACTGAAGGACTTGCCCATTTTGAACATGGAAGTCTAGTTTATGTTTAGTGTATGCATACCAAATTTCAGTTCAAAATTCAATCGGGAAGGCAGTTAAATAAATTGTTGAAACATAATGCGCTTTATATATGTACATAATGCACAGTATCTTTCAAAAAATTATTTAACTACCTTATCGATTGAATTTTGAGCTGAAATTTGATTTACATAAACTAGACTTGATGAGGAACATGCTTAAAAAATTTCATCAAAACATTCCATCAGAAGGCCCTCAAACGGACAAGTTTGCACAGCACTCCCTATCAGATACGCCTGACAGGATCTATTCTCTTAACTTAAATAGGATTAAATAAAGAACGTTTTCCTAAATAGGAGTTCACTCCTAATCTTCCCCAAATAGGGGTGGCAAGCGGGTTTGGGTGAAAATCAGGATTATTTTTTGCCTTGTCGGAGCTCCGGAGACCGGCGGCAATCGGAGAACAGCGGCGTGAACCTGGCCACCCCCGAGCTCTGGCGGTGGCAGGTGGCAGTGGGCATGGCTTGTAGAGGAGCATTTCTGACCAGTTACACATAAACTCCTATTTTAGGAATTTTTAAACTTCTGCTCTTATTTTTGAATTTTTAGCATACTAGATAGAAAATTATATCACATTTCTTTTCAAATAAACTTTTCCCTCCGTCTCACTGGACTATTTCAAATTTCCCTTTTTGTTTGTCCCAAAAACCTTTGACATTTCCATTTAAAGTAATGAATTTGTGGTTTTGTTCATTTCTCTCTCCTCTGCACAAACCTCTACCACACAGGTTTTTACTGTTCTAATTTCTCACCAAACATAAACTTGGCAAAGTTGAGTAGGACGGAGGTAATATAAGTCAAAAAAAAAGAAACTTCCTTTTTCTTCGAGGGAGAACGAATTAAAGTAACTCAATAATCTGTTTTCGAAAGGCTCATTATTGAGGCTTTTGGTGAAGGGCTTTTTGGAAACTGAAATAGCTAATTATTTTAACCAAATGTTAATTCATAGAAATGCTAAAGTTAAAAAAGTTGATCCAAATAGGACTAAAATATTGAAGTTGGTTTAAAATATGATTATTAATATTCTTTTTCTAAATAAGACTTATTTAGTCTCTAATTAAGAGAATAAAATAAGAAGTTTTTCCATATATACTACGGAGTTTTTTAAATAAAGTGATAAGCCAAAACTGTAACAAAAGTTACTTTAAGTATATCATCATAATCACTACAATTTAAATTTGAAGACCATCATGGTCACTAAAGTTATTATTATACATAGTAGCAAGTAAATATAAAAATGCACATTTCTTTCCAATACGATTAGAGCCCGTTTCGTAGCCCTATTTTTCGCCTTATCAGCCATTTTTTACTAAACATGCAAATTTTGATTTCACACATTAAATTGTGTAATAATCAAAATAAGTGAGATTAGATTTACTTTTCTGGCTGAAGTTACTGTAGATGATCAATTTAGCTATTTTCGTATAATTGTTATTTTATTACTAAAATATATTTTAAATAATCATTTTTCCATAACTCACGAATTCAATAGCGACTTCATCAATTTCAGCACAATGAGTCAATTCACCTAATTTCAATGTACCAATCGGGCTCTTAGTTTAATCATATTTTTGTCATCGTTTCATAAACAATAACATATTTTCGGTTACCAAACATATAATTTTTGAAATTACTTTTATGATTGAAATTGGCGGAAATTACCAAAGAGCTAATTTTCATAAACCTAGTAACTGTTTAATTCAAACAGAATATCACCAATTGGTCGATTGAACAAATATCAAACGGGCTCCTAGAAAACAATGACAAATCTATTTGAGAAAATAATGAAAGTAATATTTTGTTTGGGAAAGATGTGTACCAGGGCAGAAGAAGGAATCAGGCAATTTCTGAAAAGGAGTCTTGGCATTGGCATTGTAAATGTAGCTGCACACCTCCATCCAACATCATATCATATTTTCAGTCGGATGGAATAAATTTAAAGAGCTAATTAATTATTTAATTAGATATAGTGAAATGAATCCACAATGAAAGGGTTACCCGCAATCGCGACAGATGTAAGCTTGTTTAGAAGCCGCCGCCACGCGCATGGAGATGATCTTTGGGGCCTTGGCCACATATGAAGTCATGTGCGGAGAAGAAGAAGAGAGCAAGAGATACGGCGGGGACAACCAGCTGCGCGTCGGCGCTCTGCGGGCACCGCCGCCACCGCGCTTGCCGTGAACAAGGGAAGGAGGAGGCGCTTGCAGGGCCGCCATTTGTGTTTCCGGGAATTGAATGATGAGCCAGCCAGCCCTCTCTCTCTCTAGGTGAGGCAATTGAATGATGACCCAGATCAGTTGTGCAGCCTACGTGGCTGCTATTCTCGCCCCAAAATTTTCTTATCTATCATCATCATCCGTAAATTACACCGTACAGCCGGCTGCACCGTGAGCACGGTACAGCCGGTCTTTTTGTTCGCTGCTATGTGCTTGGGTCGTCGTTGGGATCTCCGCCTCCACCTCTCGAATCTCGTTACTTCCTCGTCGATGGCCTTCGCTATGGATCTGCGCGCGGCGATGGAGAGAATGGATGGGTTGCGCAGATGCGGCGATGGTGGCTTCGTTCCGGCTATGAATGGATGGATTGCGCAGGTGCTGGGAAGATGCGGGGACGATGGCTTCACTCAGGCTTTCTTTTCCTCTTTTTATTTTTGAGAAAAGGGTCATATAAGGCCTTCTACTTTCTTCAAATCATCACATAAGGCCATCTACTCATGAAAGTGTTACCAACGGATGTCTACTTTTAAAAAACTATCATATGAGGCAAAATGACCGGTTAAGAATCCTCTAACTCCGGTTTCCGCTTACATGGCACTCTGTTTAGCAAATGTGGCTTTTTTTTCCATGTCAGCCACATAGTCAGCCTAACCTAGACATACCTGGACATACTTAGTAAAAGAAAGAGATAAGAGGATCGATCATATATATCGACTATATATCGACTGTGGCTAGGGCTTTCCGCGATTTGGGACGATGACTGAGAGTGAGTTCTTGGTTTCGCAGCTTGGGTTGTGACTGGGTTCGTTGGTTTGCATATAAAAGTTGCTTTGGGAAAGTAAGTCAGTTTACTATGTTCAATTTCACTGATTTGCTTACGTGTAGTTGAGAAGGTTTTTGAAAATTAACTCAAAATTAATTGAAATCTGTATAGTTTAGGTGAAATTTTGAACCGGAAATATTCTTTAGTACATACTTCAGTATTTTAAAGAATTTGGAAACATATAAGCTTTACCGAAGAGTTGATTCTGAATTGAGGTTTTAATAAACAACTAAGGGATGGTCAAAATTCACTTGTCTATGGAACGGTGCACTTTTAGAAAATGGATTATGCTCTTTTGGTATTATGGATTATGGATTATGGATTATGGATTATGGATTATGGTCAATGTGTCTGCTTAGGAGTGGACTGTTACAGTTTAGTAACAGTTACTAAAGAAGTAATCCATGCTCTTTTAGAAAACAGTTACTCGTTTACTAATGTGTCTGTTATTACAGTGGACAGTTGAGAAACATACCTAATGTTTTATTGTTAGTACTTCAAATTAAACTCTATTAAACATTGTTACCTACGATTGAATTTGTAATTTCAGTTTAGTGGGCTTGCTTAGGAGTTTCTGAAACATTATTAAACACTATTAACTATTGCAAGTATGGAGTTTCTTACGCCTAACTATTTGGGTATATATCTATTTGAGTTCTCATTTGTCAATGTTTTCATTTCAGAATAATGTGTTTAGAAGTTGAGTTGAAAATCCACCATGGAGGGAATTTCAAGAGAATGCCAAATCTGGCATATGTCAATGGTGATATTGAGAGTATTGTGTTAGATCCAGATAGAATTTCATACCCTCACTTGATGAAGTACATCACAGAGGATATGTATAAAAAAGTGGATTCACTGTCATTTAAATTGCCCGATGAGAGTCTAGACAGCTTAAGGCCATTATGTGATGATGCTACTACTCTACAGCTAATTGAGATGGCAATTAATCACGGTGTAGTAGAAGTGTATGTGGAACACGGAATTGATGAACCTGAACTTGTTGACAACTTAGGGCTGCCTTCAACATTAACTGTGGGGGGAAATGATACTTCACTGAGAGTTGGGGCAGAGCATCACAATGAGTGTGAAGACACGCATGAAAAAGAAAAAGAGAGTGAGATAGAAACAAATGGAGAATATGAAGACCATGAAGAAGACATACCATCTGGTGATGATCAGGCTTCCTTAGAGGGTGAAGAAGATTTAAACGATGACAATGATGACCAATTAAAAAAGTCTCAAAATGATTGGGTAAACAGTAAGGGTACTGGCACTAGTTCAGAGTCTGACTTTGACGGTGAGGAAGAATGTAGTGAGTATTATGACTCTGAAGACCCCCCCAGTTTGCACTCAGATTCTGAAAATGAAGAGGGTCATATGGTGGGTTCAAAAGTGAAGAAGAATATGAAATGTCCATCATACAATAGAAATTCAGATTCCAAAGACCTTGACCTGAAAATGTTGTTTGAAGATGCAAGGGAGTTCAAAACTGCTATAATAAACTATGCAGTTCATTTTAAGCGGGATCTTAGATGGGTAAGGAATGGGCCCATGAGAGTTCAAGTGGCATGTTCGGTGAATTGTCCTTTCAGATGCACTGGTTCATGGGCAAAGCAGTACCACTGCTTCCAGATGAAGACATGGGTGGGTACACACAGATGCAATGAGAAATTCAAGTTAAAGATAGTTAGTCAAGCCTGGCTTGAAGAAAAGTACGAGAATAAAATCATAGAAAACCCGTGCATACGCCAAGTTGAGTTGCAAAAGGAAATACGGAATGACTTGAAAATAAGTGTGAATATTACGAAGGTAAAAAGAGTCATTGCCAGGGTATTGAAAAAAAATAATGCATCATTTGGGGATCAGTTTAGAAGACTAAGAGACTATGGAGCTGAGTGTTTGAGGTCAAACCCAGGGAGCACCATCATTGTAAAAACGCAGAGGGTGACTGAAGACGGTCCTGAGGTATTTCAACGAATGTATGTTTGTTTTGGAGCTTTAAAAAGGGGTTTTTTATCGGGATGCCGCCAAATCATTGGCTTAGATGGAAGTTTTCTCAAAGGGTTGCTCAAAGGTGAAATACTAAGTGCTGTGGGTAGGGATGCCAATAATGAAATGTACCCTATAGCATGGGCCGTTGTGGAGATTGAAAACACTGATTCGTGGAGGTGGTTTCTAGAGTTGCTGAAAGAGGATCTGGACATCAACAATACATTTCATTGGACTTTGATGAGTGATCAACAAAAGGTATGGATAAAAACAACCAACATATCATTTCACACTTGCTAATTTCAGACCTTTATCATTTATTAAGTTTTAGGTATATCTATAGATGTGAGTTACTGATTTCAGAGTTTTCTCATGTAATTATAGTACTAAGTTTTAAGTTTACTGTATTTTTAGTTTTAAGTTTACTAAATCTTATGTAAATCTGCCAACAAAAAAATATACTAAATCTTAAGTAAAATCTTAAGTTTACAGTTTACTAAAGTATAGTTTTTACTAAAACTTAAGGAAAATGTTAAGTTTACAAGTTTACTGAAGTATAGTTTACAGTTTACTAAAGTATAGTTTTTACTAATACAGTAATACTTAAGTAAAATCTTAAGTTATAGTTTTTTCTGATTTCAGAATTAGTCTTAAGAAGTGAGTTACAGTGTTCTCAGTTTTATGTTTACTAAAACTTCAGTATATACTCTGTGTTATATTGCCTATGTTAATATAGTTTTTACAGTATATGGGCATTATATTAAAACTAACTGTGTCTTTACAGTATATGGGCATTATATTATGTCTATGTTAATATACTCTGTGTCTAAATTCTTTAGGTGTTAAACAATCAGTGTAAAAATCGTGTGCAGGGTTTAGTGAAGGTTATAAAAGAACTTTTCCCAAATTCAGAGCATAGAAACTGTTGCAGACATATATATGCAAATTGGAGTAAGAAGCACAGGGGAAAGATGCTAAAGAAACATTTTTGGTTCTGTGCCAGAAGCACAACTGAAGCTCACTTTGAAGAACAAATGAAAGCGTTGATGAAAGTTGATGCTTTAGCAAAGGGTGATTTGGACGTCATTGACCCTCATCAGTGGTGCAAAGCATATTTCAGAACTCAAGTGAAATGTGACACCTTGGACAACAACTTATCAGAGGCTTTTAATAATACAATCCGAAAAGCTAGGTGCAAGCCAATAATTCCTATGTTAGAGGACATTCGAATTACCACAATGAAGCGAATTGCTAAAAAGGTCAAGTTTGTGAAGGGATGGACTTCCAAGCATGGACCTAGAATATTGAAAAAGTTAAATGCCAACACATATCAAAGCATGGGATGGAAGGTTAGTCTATGAACTCAGTTGGTGATTCATATATATATTTATTTCCTTTCTGATGTATGGTGTTTTATAACAGGTTGTTTTCAATGGTGATGATGGGTACGAAGTTAAACGTGGGAGCCATCAATATCAAGTCAGGCTTGAAGCAAGAAGTTGCTCTTGTAGAGCTTGGGAATTGAGTGGAATTCCTTGCCCACACGCTATCTGTGCAATTTTGGACAAAGGTGGGGATCCTGAGGATTATATTGACCCTTGCTATTCAAAGGAGGTGTACCAGGGAATATATTCTTATCACCTTCAACCAATGAATGGAGAGTTGATGTGGAGTAAGACACAAAATAATGATATCGCACCTCCAATTCCCAGAAAGATGTCTGGCAGACCCAAGAGAAAGAGAACACGAGAAGCCAACGAAGGACTGGGGTCCGAAAACGGAAGGACGACGATCTCAAGAAAAGGCAGAGTCATGACTTGTTCGGTATGTAAGCAACCAGGACATAATAAAGCAAAGTGCTCGAGTAAGACCTCAGATACGCAGACGACATCCACTGAACTTACAAAGACAACAAGCACTATCAAACAAGCATCTGCCAAATTGAAAATGAAAAGAAGAACTCAAACTGAAGCACCAAGCACTCCACCTGATGCAGGACCCTCTGCTGCAGCCATTTAGTGGATAGAGTTGCATTTAGTAGTAATGTGATAGGGAAACTAATGTATTTGTATTTGTCTGGCAATGACAATGCCTTTTTTGACTTTGTCTATGTTTCTGATGTACTTGATTGTGTTTTGATGGCGTTATTTCAGTCCAAGGGATTCAATCGTATGAAATGAAAATGTTGTTTGATTGATGTTATTTTTGTCCAGCAGGTTCAATCTTATGGAATGAAAACCTGTTTTAATTGATGTTATTTCCGTCCAAGAAGTTCAATCTTATGAATTGAAAATGTGTTTTCTTTGATGTTATTTCAGTCCAGGAGGTTTAGTGTCACAAAAGCTTCACTGATGATAATATTGTTTTGATTCGTGTTGTATTTGTGTGAAACTTTCATCAATTGGCATGTCTTTTTGGATTTTATGGATCAATTAAAGATTACTTATAAATAAAGTCACCTGCTATAGCCTTAACATACAGTTTATTGTTAATGGTTTATTCCTATTATTGTTATGGATCAAGTAAATATAGTCTTTTAGCCTAAATCTTGTTGCTATTATATTATTCACCTGCTGCACTTTATTATTAATGATTCATTTCATGAATTGCAGACAGGTGTGATAGCAGAAAGTTCATCTCAGAAATCAAAATTTAATACTGCATGTTCATCTAAAAGATCATCATTTACTATCTTTGCAACTTTCCTTGGCTTTCTTCTTTCCCAGATCTAATTAATTTAGCACATCTCTCATTAGTAAAACAACAGATGGAAGTACCAAAAGCTGTGTAGTGTGGTGGGGTTATCTTTATGCTCTCAGATCGGGAAGTTTGGGGAGGTTAAGGCAGAGCTTCTTTTTTGTCATCATTACTTTAAACTTCATAAACAGAAAAAGAGGCCACTCTACACTTCAAGCTTTTGGAATTTCAATTTTAGCAGTATCATCATAGAGCAAACTTTGCAGGCAGTTTTCTTTACACTTTTTTAAGATAAAGAAATCAAACCATATAGTGAGTTGAATCTGGACAGTAACCTCAACAAAGAAGCTTGTTGTTTAATTGTGTGGCCCTCAATGAAAAAGTACATTATTTTGGTTATCTAGATAAAGAGGTGAGGCCTTAAATGTTTCATAACATGCTGCACGGGTGAAAATAAGCAACATCCCTGAGTTTCTTAGACAGATACCACAACCATGCTCTGAATTCCAATACTTTTTGTATAAAATATCCACCTGCCAACATAAAGGTCATCACAGTAACTGAAGCAAGAGTTGTTTCCCTCTTCAGATCCATGAGTGTGACCCCAACAAACAGTTTGCTTTACACATGCGTGTAAACAAATTATTAAATAAAAGTTAAATACACAAGACTTAACTTTACAAATTCAAACTGCAGGTTACATTGTCAAACTAGAGGTTAAATGATTTCTTGATTATGTGTGTAAACAAACTATAACATTGTCAAACTGCAGGTAAAATTGATTATTTACACCAACTCTTTCTTTGAGACTCAAAATACAGGAATATTTGACATTTCCAAGCACATATAATATACATGTATGCAAAGAAATCAGCACACAAAAATTAAATATAAAAGCCTTAACTTTAGAAACTGAAATTGCAGATTACATTGTTATACAACATTACTTCATACCCATTGCAAGAAATACATTGACATTCTTTACAAATTCTACTTTAGTACACAAATCATCATAGCCAATGCTACCACAACAAATACAATTACACTTGTAATCAACATTATACAATTCCTCATTTTTTGCATTTCAGATTGCAGTGCAGCTCGTAACTCACTGACTTCATGGTGGACACTCATATTTTCATCTCTTAACCGAAAAAGTAACTTTCTTCCCTCCTCCCAACTCAACTCAGAACTTTTCCATTTAGCATCACTCTCTTCTTTCCAAGCAAAGAATTGCATCCTCCTCCCTCCACCTATGTATAAAATAAAAAAATCAGAACACATGATCCTTAGGTCATCCCCAAAATAGCATATTTTCATAAACAACCAATTCCCAGAAAAAACTCCCAAAACGACCCCCCATAGATTTTTTTTAAATCCAGAAAAATCCCCTAAAACGAAAAACAATTCCATACAACTGATTGGAACAGATACTTAGCACTTACTTTCCATCGTTGACACCCATAGAACTTCCGACCACTTTCCCTTCCTACACACAAAGGTGCTTTTAATCCACAATTACAATACACAGCAGGTTCGTAGTAGAGGTTTGAACCCATCCTTGAATTTGAAGTGAAGGAACTTGAAGACATGCTGATTCTGGAGAATTTGACCAGACCTTAGATATGAACCCTAGCTTCTTCTGCGGAGATCGACTTTTGTTGAGGGCGCAAAGCATGATTCGGCTTTTGAAATTGACGATTACAGGCTGAAGTGGACCAAAGATTTTTAAAAATCAGGACCAGGTAAGTGGTAACCGGGATTAGGCGGTTCTTAACCGGTCGTATGCCTCATATGATCGTTTTGTAAAAGTAGATATATGCCGGTGACACTTTTATGAGTAGATGGCCTTATGTGACGATTTGAGGATAGTAGAAGGCCTTATATGACCCATTTCTCTTTATTTTTTACACTAATTTTTTTTGATTTGGTAGCTTTTGAGTTGGTGGATACCTAAATTGTACGGAGTACTTAGTTTTAAAAATATGAGTATACACAAATAGAAGTTTGAATATGGTAGAGTTTTTAAATGAGCCTAAAAGAAATGAGTATACACTTAAAAAATATGAACTCACACAAATTAATATCGAACACATTGAAAATGAATTTTATGTTAAATTAAAATGAGTATAACATTCAAAATGAATTAGCATACACAAATGAACTTTCGAATTTTTTATACTCATTTTGTAAGTTATGCATGCTCATTTAGTACTTCTTTATGTTCATTTTAAAATGATGCACATATCAAATGTAATGCCCAAAATCAATGAGTATACACAAATGAACTTTTGAATTTTTTGATACTCATTTTGTAAATAATGTGTGCTCATTTGGTACTGTTTTATGCTCATTTCTAAACTGATGCTCATTGTTAGGCTCCTAATACTCATAAGAACAGATTCGATGCTTGTACAAATTACTTCAATGCTCATTTAAGAGAAACCAAGATTATCATAAAAATTACAAATTTGCCACCGTTTTTTTAGTTGTGATATCAGCTTTCTTTTAATAGCACGACGCTCATTATTAGACTCCTAATACTCAGTAAAATTGGATTTTTGCTCATTAACAGTACACTAATGATCACTTAGCAGAAACCACGATTTTTACATTATATTACAAAAATGCCACCGGCTGTACGGCGAGCACCGTACAGCCGGTTGTACAGTGGACGACTTCATCATCATCTCATTAGTCTTTTCCAAAATACTACCTAACATTTAAGTGACATTAAGTGATATTAGGCACTTACCCCATGTTCTTTATTAGAGTATAACAATCCTGGAACGTTTTGATCCTTGGGACGTTTTGCTGGTTGCAACGTTCATCAACTTTTAGCATCAAGTGATATTAATTAGATTTTAATATAATTAAACGTATGGGTGGTGCTTCATTGTGACCATGAGGATTATATATACTCTTCACTCTTGACATGCCGTACTGGTTTTTAAGTGAGTACTAATACTATACTAATAATACTAGAGTGATTTACCTAAATAGGACTAAAACAAGGTAGAATTGTAAAAATAAGACTACTATGTTTTATTTTGCAAAAATAGGACTAAAAAGAGGCAATCTGACAAATCTGCCCTTAATTTAAAAGGCCCCTGCAATTATTCGCATCACCCCCGCGGCTCTCTGCAATTCATCGCAAACCATATCCGCCTCCCATGAACTGCTGCTCCATTCATCACAAATATATCGCATCACAATTTCATCGCCCTGCACTCATCGGCATCCAGGTAGGTCCTCACCCTCCCTCTCCCCTCCCTAGCTCCCCTCTTCTTCTTCGAACATTATCTCCCAGATTCCTCTTCCTCATCTGATTTCTTCTTCTTCTTACTTTGTTTTGTAAAAAAAGGTCATCTTTGTCCTCAAAATGTCATGGAGATGACATTTCCATATATAAAAACATGGCAGTCATGAAAATGTCAAGTTGGTGTCATTTTTACTCTTTAGAAATGTCAAATAAAAACTGTCAACTTGGTAAATGTAATGTCAAGACAATGACACTTTTCCCAAATCAGCGTTGAATGACATAGCAATTATGCCATTTTTCAGTCCAATTGGTGAAATAGGTGGAAAATGTCAAGTTGGTGTCATTTTTACTCATCAGAAATGTGGGAAAAAATGTCATCTTGGTAAAT